ATATATATATATATATATATATATATATATATATATATATATATATACACACACATATATATATATATATATTAATTTAGTATACTATATCTAGGCAGGAATTTAGGTTTGTATGTTACGACCTTTAATTGGGTCGTTGAACTTGGCAATCAATCAGCCTTTTGGACAACTGCTTAAGCAGTTAGTGTGGTAGTGGTTCATATCTATCAAATAGGTCGTTGATATTTAGAAAATTACCCATATTGAGAGCAGTGCATGTTGACATTAACTATCTTAAAACGAGATTTAAGATCTATTCTATTGTTCGACTACTGAAATGTTCTTGGATCAATTTCAAAGGAAGCTTTACACAAACTTGTCATTGTAAAGGTATGTATTATGTATTGCTATTTCAAAGTGACCGCAGCTTGTGACGGGACCTACGTGCGTGGTGTATCACTACAGGTTGGTTGGTTATATTGAATTGAAGAAACGACCGGTCCATGTTGACATATATCACTACATTACACACGTCTTCAGAATGTATCAAAAAATCCAACAGTTTGAGATGAACCTAACGATATGTAGATATATGTACATAAATGTATATCTACGTGTATGAAATAGCTGTAGGTACGTAGGTTAATGTCCAAAGAATTTCTCACCGATCTGGTACGAACTGAAAACCGTTAGTGAGAGAATTGTACATATTGCTGCCGAGCGCTTGTTGCGGAGTACAATCTGTTCATTACCGCGATGATGAGAGTGGCTGTCCGTGTCACTCGGTAATGTAATGCAGTGCAAATGAGTCAATCTCCATGGGGCTGGGTGGCCACACACTGCCATTAGGAAATCGATTCCTTCGTTCTCGCAGCAATGCTAACTCCATCACTGTAGGAACCTTAATTAAGGTTTCATTAGTAAGTAAGGTCTATTAAGTAAGGTCTCATTAGTTTTACCATTTGTTAGATGAAAATATATGTTTTTTTGATAGATTTACCTTAGAAATCTTCTTTATCGAAGAATATGCAGAAATATCAGCCATACCTCTTAAGAAAGAAATTGGTCGGGAAAAATATAAAAAGTATAAAACGAAAATCTCTATCGAATATATCCTCTGTACGGCAGTATTCATCTGCATTCAAGGAAGGATGTATTTGCCGCGTCACACCTGCAATCTAATAATGACGTGAGAGGAAAGGAAAGTCGGTCGCACTTAGTTTTCCAATCTAAACAATAGAAATTCAACGGGTGCGCGGCCCACGGGAGACTGATCCATCTCTATGTAAATTATGCGGCAATGGAAGCAAATAACACCGACTTGTGTTCATCAGACAGGCGGACACGTTGCACGGACGACGTCGCCGTGACGCGACACATTTTTTTATAATCAGAGCCAATCAAAGGTCGTAAACGTCTGCATGTGGCATTTAGGGAGACTAGATTTTATAGACTATCATGTGAGCACAATGGGTACCTCATTTGTAACAATCAATGGCGCATTTGACACAAACACATCATTGTTTTTATTAAGACCTTGAAGTAAATGCGATTTGATTATCGACAGACCAACCACTTCCACATCCACCTACCTATTTTAGAATCAATGCCATATTTAGAATTATACCCTATGTTTAAACAGTATTGTAGAATTTCACCTGCGGTTTTGTGGTTGATGGTTCATGGTGATCGCACAATTTCGTGTTATTGGAAATGTTGAATATTAAAATTTCAGAGCTAACATTTCCAAGGTTTCCCACATGTCCAAGTACAGTACAAATTTTTTATGCGACTTACATTGAAATGATTTATGCGTAGCCTATTTATGGTTACTTTGGGGTTTTTTTTATAGTAGGTTGTTAGTCTGGAGTTATCTCAGGGACGGCACACATCTCTTTCTTTAGACCCCTTGGCGCGATAATTCCCCTCAGAATTGCGGGAATTTTAATTGAGGTTAGTAAGATTTATAAGACAAATTAACCTCTGTAGATACATAAATTCTCATAAAAATCTCAAATTTTCTTTCTAAACAGTTGTCTAGTGTTGTTTTACCTAGATTACTGTCGGAAAATTTCTAAGTAATTAAGCAAACGCTAAAAAGTGTCATATAAAGAAGTTATGATTTATGTGTCAACAGTATTCAAGTCTATTGCACTTATAATAAAAACGATACGAAGTCTGAATAAAATTAAATTCCGCAGGTACTTACTTGCGGAATTTAATTTTAATGCGTTACTTGTGAAGTTGATCGAAATATTATGAAAAAAAAAACTCTATATTTATTTCATCGAATATCTTAACGTTTTTACTACCATGATTTTATTTTTTGTAAAATATTCCACTAGTTTGTTGTTCTGATTGACACAAAGATCGATAAATACAAAGAAAAATCCTTCGATCCGGCTAAACTCGAACTAGCGACTCTGACAAATAGGTGTTATCGCTCTTTCAACTGAGCTACGAAATGAGTTAGCAGATTTCACGATTTTCTCTATGTGTTCTGCCAATTCTCGATAGGTAATGAGTAAATAATGATGTTTTTCCCACGCGGTTCTGATCAATAATTAAATATATCTAATATTATCGAATACTTACCCTCTCAACGCAAAATAAAATTCGCTTTTGCAATCTTTTATACTCGATGCTTCCTCGAAATCTGCTGTCATTTTCTTCTTTTGCCTCGTTTTCAATAGCTCAATGTGGAAGAAAATGTATGCGCCCAGCATTGTGGAGTGTGCCTTATGGTTAGTATTATGATTGCTGACTTTAACTGAAAGGGTATGGTTGATTGTCTACTGGTAGTCTATGTCCCATTGACATAATACTTCTAGATGTGCGGTATCGTAGTTGGTAAGTAGACAAGAGTGGCAAGGACTGTCATAATTACATTTGTTATGAGCAGAATGAAGAAAAGACACTCTAGGTGATTTTTCGCATTAAATGTGCATGTCTCCAGAAGAATTTAAAGTATTCACACTGGTTTTATGTTTGTTCCTCTTTGCTATTGGTACCACATGTTTACAGCATGCTTAAGCATATAGTAGGTAGTACATACTACGTACCTAGGACATATACATTTAAGGACTGGATTTACATTTTAGATTAAAAAATGTTGCGCTTCTTCATTTCTGCTATGTATTCCTAACCGTGTATAATAATAATAAAAAATACATCTACATGGTTTTGGATGGTATTTTGATTATTATATAAAATTGATTAAATAATTGATTTGACGAATAACATATGTAAGTACATACATAGAAAATGTGTTATAAATGTAGGTACTACAAAAATAAAAAGCTTGTGTTGTGTAATTATGTAGTTGTAAACTCAGAACTGACAATTCGCCAAGCAATCTTGATCTTACGCCAGCGGTTCCTGTAAAAAATGAAGGTATTGTTTATTATGAAGTTTTTCGGATGTAGAGTACGAAAATTATTTTTTTTAAATATATATTGATGTCGTACATAAATTTGTTTTAATGAAGTAATTGAAATATGTATTCAATTTATTTTTTCTGTGTGCATTTCACTAGTCAACTCGTATGAAGAATTAAGTAACTAGATTGGAAATTGTACTAACTAATTGTACATAACTCCAACAATTTTATTTAACAACTATATAAATAGTTATTATTGTACTAACACTGTACAGAAAACATGGATAACAAATATTTTATAAATTCACATTAATTCAAATGTACTTCAAAAATATTTTCACTCAGTAACTAGGTATGTTTACGTAGCAAAATTATCTTTGCAAAAATATAAAAAGAAATACAAAGCACTTCCGCTTGCTTGAAGGTGGCAGGGCGTGTAAATTTCGGGAACATTTCCTTCATAAATGGGACGTTCCACATCGTCCCGCTTCCAACCACGCAATATTTTTTTCATACGTTATAGTATAATATTTTTAATTTCAGATACAGTATTCTTGTTTTCAGGAATAAAATGTTTGAATAGTGAAAAAAAAATAAGCAAGTCTCCAAAAAGTGGAATTATGAGTTGTAGAGTCCGTGTACTTAATGTTATTATTAATTAATAACATATATTAGTTTTTTTTGTTCGTATCATGCATGTCGGGGTATCTACAAAAAAGTAGTTTTAGCCTTTGGTATAATTTGTTTTAAAACATAGGAAAGTATGTTTTTTACTGATTATGAGACGTTATTTAGCACTCGTTGTGTATGAAACATTATTTTTCATAACTAAGCTGACGTGACTCTACTTGGAAAACGTATTTCTACTTTATTTTATTAAGAAACACGAGACTAATTACATTCGGAAACTAACAACAATAATACCTTAAAATTTCTAAATGTTCTAGTTTGTTGTAAGTTTTTAGTACTTTTCATTTTAATTTTTAATGTAACTATCAGATAAGACGTCAGAGGATGTTAGTCGCTAATAGCTGCGCACACTCATCTAAATATATGTCATAAAATGCCGAAACGCGAGCTACTCGACGATGGCGTTCGCAGCTTTGGGGGTTTGCCTCCAGGAGGAAGGTGTTGTCAATAATTCACATTTTTCGCACTCAAGCAGGTCCAGATCTTTTTTCTATATTCAGATAAACTGGATTGACAGCAGGCTGTATAGCAATGAACGTGATGTATCGGCTTAAATTTTGGTTATAAAAAAGAATCTAATCTGGGAGCGTCAGGTGATCGGAGATCAAGGGTATATCTCCGTAAAGCGGGATTAGGCCAAATTGACCACATTTCGTGGAAGACAGACGCCTGCTGTTCGTCGCGTGGAATTCTAACAAATTAGCGCCCTATTCAGACACGGCCTTAAGGCGATTTACAGATTCACAATCTCCACTATCGCTTCTTTGAATGATGGTGTTGGGTATTTTGTTCAACTTCGAGAAAGAGATCAATTGTCGAATCTGACTTGGCTGGACAGCGTTCGATAATTTCCTATGACCATGTCTATCTGCCCATGAGAAAGTACGTTATACAATTACAGAGACCAGTAGCTATTTCATATGATGAAAGTTTGCCAATGAGACGTTCGTGCCAAAAAGAGAGATATTGAGAAACATGACGGAAGCATCGCCCTGCTTCTCGATGGCTTTCCCTTTTAAATGAGTGGCGTATACAAAAAAATCCCAATAAACTGACTTCACGGTAGTTTTAAAAAGCAGTGGAATTATTACAATTTTTTTGTTTATCAATCGAACTTGCGAGGTGGGTCAAGGAAAAAAATTAACATATATTTTAAAAACAAATGGTTTTTTGCGTATCTACGAAAAGAAATACATTACTTTGGTATAATAAAAGGACACAGGTCTCTTAAGTTAAGTGTTTATAATCAACCACGATTGTTCACTCGTTTTATTGGTAAAAATCGGAAATTGCCCTGTTCCAATATGAATCGAACGTTACTTATAAACAATATCGATTTGAATATTGGACATAACGGTCTTAACATAGGGAAATGGTATGCAAGAGGAGCTTTTAGTCGAATGTGCAATGTCGCAATGAACCGAATATCTAGCGGCGTTACGGCGATTATTCAAAACAGATGCGGTAACTCGAATTAGAGATTGTTACTATCCCGATGTCAGGATCTCTAAAATCCTAGGCTAACCCTTCGGTTATTATTGAAGCATACATTGTTTAGGTATAGATAATTGTCTTGAAAAAGTAACAAACATCAGCCTAGAAATCATTATTAATATGATTGAGGTAGTTATTATACAAATTGATCAAAATTATTGTACAAAAAGGGGAATGTAGCCTCACAGTTGCTTCTTTTTTCCCATGATGGTCTATGATATTTTACGAAAAGCGGACTGCGATATATAGCAAATACATAACAGATATACTGAAAAAGCAAACAACTTGCAACATCTCAAATCATGTTACATAATGTAATAGAGATAGATATCTAGAGGAAGATAAAGTGGAAGAAACGGACAGAACGAAGTTCGACACAATCCATCAATTTGTCTTTCACGATACTTGTAGCCTCTATCCGCCGTACATAACGCTGTATTTGCCTCTAAGACGCCAAGAGGAGAGAGAAAAAGAAACACAATTTTGAAAAAAAAAAAAAAAAACAAATTAAAAAACCCTCAAACTGTCTTTCTAATTTAAAGTTTGATTATTATGTACCTAAGTTAAAACTTGAAACATGATAGTACCAATACTTATAGATATACAAAGGACGGATAAAATTTAATACAGTGAATCTATATTAAATCTTCGCTGTATGCATCGTGAATGCAAATAATAGGTACAAACTGACTTTACTTAAAAATATGAAAATAGCTCTTTATTGGCGGACATATTTAAAAATTGCAAAAATATATTT